TCACGGGAATGGGTCGGTCGAGGGCGGTGAGGGGTATCTTGAGCCGAGTAACCAGTCCGTGGTCGATAAAACACTCCGCAGCCCCAGTGTCTAAAAGTGCCTCCAGTCTGGTCGGGCCTTGGTCCAGGTGGAGGGAGACCGGGAGAGTGGTTCGGTGTGGAGCCGGAAAAGTGGAGACTCCGGGCGGGACAGCTCCTACTCCGACCCGGAGGGACCTTTTCCCGGTCGTTTTGGGCACGTGCCACGGTGGTGACCCAAATCCCCACAGTAAGCGCATCTTCCCTCCTGGTAGCGCCGTGCCCGTTCCTCAGGGGGAAGATGTCCCAGCTGCATCGGCTCCTCCGTCGGTTGGTGAGCCGGCCGGCGGGGTGACGTCCTGGTGTGTACGGGGGCTGACATGGTGCTCGGCCGGTTCAGGATGCAGCGGTCCAGTTGGAGAGCCAGATCCACTGCCAGGTCCAGGGAGGTTGGGACCTCGTGCCCGATCATGCCCTCCCGGATTCTCGGTGACAGTCCCTCCAGGTAAACGGCCTTTAGGGCGGCGTCATCCCACCTCAACCGAGCTGCTGTCGTCCGGAAGCGAGAGGTGTACTGAGCCGCCGTCTGGGAGCCCTGGCGAAGCTGAAGCAGCCGCGTCTCGTCCGAGACCTCGCTGCTGGGGTGCACAAAAGTCTTTTTCATCTCCTTTACAAAAGTCTCATAGTCATTGCAGGCAGGAGATTTCTGATTGTAAAGAGCCGCCGCCCATTCACCGGCTCGACCTGTCAGCAGTGAGGTCAGCAGAGCGACACGAGAGCAGGATGTGGGGTAGCGTGCCGGCTGGCACTCGAAAGTCATGGCCAGGGTCGCCAACATGCCCTCCGGGGATCCCCTGGTTCCGTCCCACTTCTCTGGAAGGCTGAGGCGTGGTTCCATCCTGTCAGGAACAGCTGCGGTCTGACGTTGCAGAGCGGTGGTCAGCTGGAGTACTAGCTCGGTGAGTGACTCAATCTTTGTGGCTTGGCGATCAGCTATGGCACGGAGCTGGTTCATGTCTGCCGTCTGCTGATCCAAGATTGCGCGCTGTTGAGCCACTTCGGCACGCAAACGCGCGAACTCCGCTGGGTCAACTTGTGGCTCAGTCATCCTGTCAGGTTCGTTGGCAGATCTGAAGCGTGACTGAGAGTTCTGTTGCCCAGACGCGGAGAGACGGAGATAGCCGGCGTGGTTATCTCCTGTAGGTGTAGTATGAGTGTTTTGAGGGCTGGTAAGCCTGGAGACTCGATACAAAGTCTGGTGAGAAACGATGACTGAGCAATGAATGAAACGCCGGCACTTCCTTAAGTAGTGCCGGCGTGATGACGTCAGTCGCCACGTTGGTGGCAGGAATGAATGGAATGCAGTCAGCTGGAGGAGTTCGTGACATAATTGACTGCAAAGGATTTGCAACCAAGTATTGAAATGTATAAGTTTGATTTATGGTTCTAAGTCTGTCCCATTACTTTTGGTCCCTTAACAAGTGGGAGGCACATATGCAAACTGTTGTAATTCCTACACCGTTCACCTGATTTGGATGTAAATACCCTCAAATAATAGCTGACAGTCTGCAGTTAAAGCACATCTTGTTTGTTTCATTTGATATACATTGTAGTGGTGTATAGCCAAAAATGTTAGCATTGTGTCAATGTCCCAATATTTATGGACCTGACTGTATATTTTGCTGCTGAGAAAGGTCCTATGTCCAAGAATAATGATCTAATATACTAGCAACACTCTCAGATGTGGAGTTATCCGGGAGGCAGCGGTGTAAACGAATGGGTCCAGCAGAACATCTTGGCCTAACAGCATCCATACATGGACAAAATGGCTTTTGACAGAGGTGGGTGGTATGTAAAAATTAGTGACACAAACCCTTCTTGGTGTGTTCTTTCTGTGTTTCGTTTAAATCTCCATTGGTTTTTTCTTGCTTAATACACAGTGTAGCATAATTTTAGCTTGAAATGCTGAAAGTTTCGCCGTCACACAGTCAACATTTCAAGGTCAAAACTATGCTACGCTGTGTATTAAACAAGAAAAAAAAAACATCGAATAGTGACACAAATAATTACCTAAGAGTAAAACAGTGCTTTGAGAAAATGTTACTTGAGCACTGTGAGTAATGAGTGACTGAGCATAAAAGTTAGAATTTTGTTTCTGTCGATTTGTTTTTATTAACATTTATGAAAACGTCCCAGATTGTGATGTCACAAACAGGGAAATGATCATAGAACCACTCTTCACCTGTTGAATCCCCACCCACCAAAATAGTTGAGGAATGGCTATTTTTGTTTTCTGAGACTCAGAATAAGGACTATGAAGGTTCTACGTTTCTCAGTTGGCCTGGAAAAACCTCAGTATTTCCCTGGAAGGGGCTGGGAACAGATCCCTACTTAGGCAGCTGCCCTGTCACCCACCTCGGAATAAGACAGAAGAACGAAGGGAGGCGTGACACAAAGCTACTGCTAATACTACATCTTCATGTTATGTTATGTTATGTTATGTCATGTTATGTTATGTTATGTTATGTTATGTTGTGTTGTGTTATGTTCCCAGCGACAATCAACAGTTACCTTTAGTAGTGTTCACTTTGTGAAACAGACTGCTTTTCCCTCATTTTAGCTGAGTGGTTCCTTCGGTTCGAGTTGGGACGCTATTGGGAACCTTGGACATTACACAGCAGGATTAGCCAGCAAGCTTCTTAAGGTGGAAGAAGCTGTACCCACCCTCTGTGTCAAGTCAGCAGATGAGGGAGATCTACTAAAATAACTACTTTTAAATAATGACGTTTACATTTCAATTATAATTAAGCAGGAACTAGCTTGGTCAGGAGCTGTCAGTTCTGTAACCAGTAGGGTGGTGACATTTATGTGCTTTTAAACATTTGTAGGTGCATAAGGAACACAACCTAAGTGATTTATTGAGTTAAAGGCACACCTGGCAGTGTTGCTTGCTTTTAACACCCTCTAGTGTCCGTTATCACCCACTGTGCAAAAACCTAGTTTGGACGTCCTACAGATGTTGTCTGGACTGACAGACTTGATATAGACATGATCTGCACGTCCATGTGACGTTGACTGTTTGTAGGTTAATTCTCTGTTGTCAAACCAAAAAGAAACCTATCTCATGAACACAACTGCTTTGTTTTATTTAGTGATGAACCACTCCCGTAGACACTAATGAAGGCTGGGGAGACATTTCAGCTGTTAGATAAAAGTGTTAAAAAGACAAACGTAAATTGAGGAGAAAAGTTTTGGTTTTGGTTCTGCAAACGGACACTAGGGGGTGCTAAGCCTAAATGGCCTACATCCCCTTTGTCGTCTCTTAATTATACAGCATCTCAACACATGTATTTTTGAGTCTGATTCTAACACTCTTCCTTGTTTTCTCTCCTCAGCCATCTTGGGAACAGGTGCCAAATGTTACATTAGAGTGATGGCAGCTTATTCGGCTGTAACTGTCACACCTTGGGTGAGATTATTCTCTCACACGTTTTTCCTCAGCTGATGTTTTGGAGGACCTTCTGTGAGTCAAATGTCATTCATTTACTCTTTTGAGTTTTTAGTGTGAACCTTCTGCACTCAGAAACAATGAATAGATGGAAGAAGTGATTGAGAACAAGTTTAATTTCACTTTCAAAAAGATGCAAAATAGATGCAAGTTCTAATAAAAATGCACTTTTAAAGTTCACCTCGGTGTACCGGGAATTACAGTTTTGATGTGCACCGGTACTTTTTCCAGCCATTTATCAGTCAAAATCTCTGATATTAAAGAAAAATCTCTCGCTCACTCTTCACCTAAACAACAGTAATTAGAAAAAAAAAAACAAAAGCCCCAAAGGTAATTTTAGGGCTGCTCAATTAATCGAATTTTAATCACGATTACGATCTGAGTTTTGAACGATTATAAAAAACAAAACAAGCCGATTATTTGCTCCTCCCGCCTGCGCTGCCCCGAGTTGCAAATGAAGCGCTCCTCCCAGTGTTGCCAATTTAGCGACTTTGACGCTATTTCTAGCAGCTTTTCAGACCCCCTTCTTGACTTTTTAACTTAAAAGTATCTAGTGAACATCTCAGAAACATCTCTGGTAACCCTTAGCTACTTTCTGGATAACTATCGTCGACGTTTCCTGCAGGTTAGCTAAACACCGCCTGCTCTCCGGACCGTTCTTCAGGACATTAGGAAAGGGAATGATGTAGCGATGTCGGTCGCTAAAAAAACAGCTCTCGGAGCCGGCTCCTTGTTGGAGTAACCAGAGTGAGTGACACACACACCGCACCTGCGGACTCCTGAGCCACTAAAAACGGCTAAATGTGCGCGTGCGGCGCGCTAAACACACGTGCAGCTTGCCCCGATTGCTGTGAGACCGGGTTGGGGGTGGGGGGTGCAGCTGTGGTTGGGACAATTATTACATTAACTGATGGACCTGTAAATAAATAGTTTATAAATAAGGTAGAAATAAGTTCCTCACGCTGATAAATAATAACTAATCTCTCTGAGGATACGGTGCTAGTGCACTCTCCTACAGCACCTTGACACGACTAAATACGTATTATGCAATTTTTTGTGAACATCAATTTATTTGCATGTATTTGTTATGAATGCCACAGTATAATTCTTGCTGTCAGTATTTGCAAGATATTGGTATTTGGGTCTGTACTGGTTAGACTTAAATGAGTTAACCAAGGTCATAGCCCTTGGGTCATAAACTAGGAGCTATAAGTATATTGGTCTTTTTATACTGGGAATCAGGAGTTATTTTAGTGATCATCTTGTTTCTTATTTTCATCCTGATTGTGCCCTGAGCAGTTTTATGACTGAATAAAAACAAATAAAATCAACATAAATTGAAAAATCGTCCTAAATAATCGTGATCTCAATTTCAGTCACCATAATCGTGATTATTATTTTTGCCATAATCGAGCAGCCCTAGGTAATTTCATTTATTACCTTTCTAGCTGCTGAGGTGTTCAATGACGTCTCACCTGTGTGACCTGAGTGACCTTTTCCGTGACGTTCTGGGTGCGATCTTTGACCTTGCTCGGTGCAATAATTTCTATCTCTGTGGGTGATGGAGGTCTCAGCCGGTCAGATCCGAACGTGAGGGTGACCTGAGGGATGCGGCTGATGGTTCTGTGTCTCATGAGGTCCGAGTCGGAGGTGGAGTTCAGAGCGCTGGGCTTCAGATCTGCAACAGGAAAGCGCAAACATCAGGAAACAGGAGACAAACTGACTGCAAGTGAAGTCTGAATTAAAATTAAAAAAAACTTTATAAAGAGTAATCAAAAGCTTTAAGTTATTCAGTTTTATTCAAGTTCTAAGTAAACAGAAGAAAAATGAAATGTAAGCATCGATCAGCTTTCTAACAAAATCTGGTTATTCTACAGAACTGGAATCATCAAGGCAAGAACGGACAAGGCACCAGATAAAAAGAGATAAGATTAGAACTTGTACCATGCAGAAATATGTTTTTCTGAAAGCCATTTCCCCTGAGAGAAGATGAGGACAGATGTGCAGTGATGAGTAACTTTCAACAGAACAGAGCAGGCAGCTGCACACTCAGTCAAGTTTTATGTGTCATTACTATCACCGCAGAGATCGTTGTGTTGTTTGTTTGCGTTCAACAGAGAAGAAAGGCTCTTCCACCAAATTATGGTTTGCCATAAGAATCATATTTAGCAGTTTAAAATAACTTAAGTATTTAGTTACGTTTTAACTTTTTTTACCAACACATTAATACGTCAACACATTTGCACTAACTACATCTAGACGCTTTTATAATGACATCTGTAACAAATGATCTATGCAGTGACTCCATGAACTGATTTAATGTGAGAAGTTTGCAACACTTAAACTTTTGCTTAAACTAAAAGACGCTGCTGACTCAGACACTCACTGCAGTTGCTTCTGGGCTCTCCGGGTCGGCTGTTCCACTCCGCCCTCATGCCGTCGATGTCGTCCAGAGATGAGGCTCGCCTCAGGCTGCGGACGCTCTCCCTGGAGCAGCTTCGAGGTAGCGTCCCCCTCGCGAAGGCGACGCCGGGATCCAGTCGATCCGTCAGCAGGGAGCACCGTTTAGTGAAGGACTGGGCCACAGGGGAGGGGGGGTCCACGTCCTGCTCTATCAGAGCTTCAGTCTCAGACTGCATGCAGCTCTCCTTAGAGGGGATCCGAAACTCTTTCAGAGGGACTTCTTCACTGTTTGGCTGCAAAAGTTAAAAAAAAAAAAAACTTAAATGGTGTCAGATGTCCAACAATTGTACACACACATTAAATGGTACCGTATTAGCAATAACACTGTGTGTTCTGTTTGGCATATGTCCTGCTGTCGGTCTGCACTAAACTGCACTGCAGCTTCATTGCCAGCATGTAAATTCCTTCTGTCCCAGCTGGTATATTTGCCTAAACCATCAAAGCTCCAGTGTCATCAACTCTCTTCACAAGTTTACTTCATATTTGTGAAAATGAGAGATAAAGTGAGGCGTTGCTGCTTTTCTCTCCCTTTATTATTGCTGAAAATATGCATACTTCTCACAGATTGAGGAGGACAAATATAATGCTTGGAAATGCATTTAAATGCAAAAAGTAATGGAAAGAATACGGGTATATTTTGTTCTGTACACGTGGTTTTTAAATATTCATGGTACGAAAGCTCTCCACAAATGAGTCAGAAATGCATTAAATGCACGCTTTTCAGGTTTTGGCAGCAGAATCCTAACCCTAACCCGTGCATCTGTTTTTACCCTCTTATCCGGGATAGCAGCTCCAGCAGAAAGGTCCAAACCTCCCTTTCTCCAGGCATTCCCTGGAACGTGAAGATGTGATCCATCCAAAAGGTGTCCATAGTCGACCTGGGGACCTCCTGTCAGCAGGACATGGCTGAAACACCTCCCCAGGAAAATGTCCAGGAGGTGTCCTTACCAAAAGCCCAAACCACCTCACCTATCTCCTCTTGACGTGGAGGAACAGCAGCTCTACTCTGTATCTCCTGACTGTTTCACCGCTTCACCCTATTTCTAAGGCTAAGGCCAGTGGAGGAAACTTATTTTGGCTGCTTGTGTTTGTGATCTTATTCTTTTGGTCATCACCCAAAGCATGAAGATTGCAGATCTAGGTAGAAACCTAAACTTTAATACTGATTGCATGGTTTACCTGCAGGTAATCGACCACCACTCCTTCACACTGATCTTTGGAGAGTGAATGTCGTTTCATCGACCGGAGCACCGGCAGCCTCATCTTCAGCCGGCGATTCTGACCTGCAGAGAAAGTAAACCTCCAGTTGATCCACTTCACCTTTGGTGATAAAGTACGCGGTTTCAAATGAGCTAAAACCTGGGTTTTATACTTTATTTATATTCACAGTCACACAATACAAAATCTCTAAATTTACAATAAAGCCATCCTTGAGAGACTCTCTGCCTGAAAGCAGACTTCTTCAGCGAGGCATCAAGGAGCTCCTGGAAGTCCAGGATGTACATGATGACGTGGCCTTCTTCGTTTTTAACAGGAACGATGTCCACACGGCACGGTCGGCAGATTCCTGCAAAAAAGGTAATAACCCAGTGAGAAAGGGGGCACCTGGACTTGAACCAGGGACCTCTTGATCTGCAGTCAAATGCTCTACCACTGAGCTATACCCCCGAGGTCTACTGCTGTTCTAAGAACAACAGACAGGACAGAAAGTGACAGTGAGCTGCAGAGGCCTTGTATCAGGTCTAACTTCAGTTTGTAATCAGTGTGATCTAAAAATAGAAGGATGAAAGAGGCAGAATCAGACAAACACACACACACACACACAAACTGAACCATGCATACACACTCAGTATGTGAACTCGGACCTATTCAACACCTCACACAGAGGTTTTAGTCTGGAGGGAATACACAAAAGTCCATGCCTGTGGGAGCTGCAGCTCTGAATCACATTACATTCACTCTTTGCTCCTTTCTCAGCTCGGAGTGCAGTATGAAGCAGGGGACACAACAAATATATGTAAAGTGGCTCTGAGCAGCCATGTTGAACTCATTTCCGTGACAACAGCACAGCAGACTGCATGCCTCGCACCCAAACGCCAAAGGTACAGTATGTCTGAATGTTGACAGTGAAAAAATCTGAGTAGAGATCTTGTTTCCCCAAACCATGATGAGTTTCACAGACAATTAACACAGTCAATCAAAGCCTGGTTCACATGACAGGATTTTTACACACTTGGTGATAAAAATCACGTTCACGCACAGATGTGTCTCGCGCTCAGACGAAAGATTTCATGAGATCAAACGTGACTTTGAAGAAAACAAACGTGGTGGAGGAGAAGCATAGCCTGGCAAGCCAGACTAAATAAATGTATTATTTAGTCTGGCCACGCTCCATTGACGGCTCTCGGTTGTGGGGCGGGTTCTACCGTTGTCTTTCAAATGATCTCCGCATTCCACTGGACAAAGAATGTAACATACTCTTGTTTCACTCTGTTGCATCATCCCACCCACCAGGCATATAGAGTGCCCTGATTGGCCCACAAAGTGGATAAAGCTCTGTGATTTGTTAACTAAGCAGATAGAGCACTATGATTGGCCCACCATTATGGACCAATCACAGCTCTTTATGTGTTTGAAACCCTTCTAGAGAGCTGTGATTGGCTAGCCAGAGTCCTGGTAGGAGCTGTGGAGGTTCCAATGGAGCATGCCTAGACCAAACTTTGCAAAGCAAGAATTTGGTCTAGTTCACTAGGCTAGGAGAAGCATGCTGTACACCTCTACCACCTTGCTTTCCGATTGGCTAGTTGTCACATTCAAGAGACACCACGTTTGTGTCCCAAAATCAGATGGAGACAATCCAACAAGTTTGAAAGCCTGGATTAATGATTAGAGCGTCCTTCTGAGTCAGGTGTGTCCAAAGTGTGGCCCAGGGGCCATTTGCGGCCCTCTGAGTGATTTTGATTGGCCCTCACTAGCATTTTTAGAAATGTGGAATTAAGTCCCTCCAGGAGGCCGTTGATGTAAATTCATATACAGAATTTTATTATTTTATGTTGAAATTTTTACTAATATATCTATTTTAGGCGTTTTTTGAGCAGGACAAATTAAAAATATAAAATAATGTTTGCATTCATTAAAAATGATGTAATTTTTGTGGCCTATAAGTTTTAACTTCATGATTTTGGCACTCATAGTGAAAAGTTTGGACATCCCTGTTCTGAGTGAACCCGAGCGCTTGTAACACACCACACACTAGGATTATCTGATAGGATTATCTTTAGAGCTGTTGCGTTAATGGTAAGGCTTGGTAGCCTGGCCTGCCAGACTCCTCCTCTGTTTAATTCTGCACAGAGAAAGGGTTTGGGAACTCTCCTATTCAAATAACCCCACCCCCTGAGAATTCTAACCGAGCCAGTCAGCTCTGAGTAGCGTACGTCACACACCACAACGCCGAGTTTGTCATAAACATGGCGACTGAAGCAGAGTTCACTGCGGCTCTTTCCTCTGTTCTAAATGACTTGAATGTCTTTAAAACAACAAGTAGAAGCGCTAAAAGCCTTTCTTCTAAAAAAAAAAAAAAAAAAGATGTTTGCGCCGTTGCCAGACACCCTTTATTACTACAGCTAAAAAACTACAGCGTTGTGCGGTACAGTCGGCATTTCTGACTTTTTTTCTGATTTTTGAGCTGCCTAGTCTCGCCCCTCACGTGCCTCTCTGCCTGTGAGTTACCAGACTTTCTCTCCGTGCAGAATTAAACGGAGGAGGAGTCTGGCAGACCACGCTAAAGGTTTGGATGTCTATGAATATTACAGAATTTTCTGACTGGTATAAAGAATACGTGATGATATTAACAGGTCATGATCTAAAGTAGGTCGGTCTGAGGTTAAAAACTGGGCCCAAAGCCCTGCAGATATATTTTATTTCGATATGAACACCAACAACAAATAAACAACAGCAGCTGGATGTGTCTAGCCTGGCAAGCCAGACTAATTAAATGTATTATTTAGTCTGGCCACGCTCCATTGACGGCTCTCGGTTGTGGGGCGGGTTCTACCGTTGTCTTTAAAATGATCTCCGCATGCTACTGGACAATGAATGTGACATACTCTTGTTTCACTCTGTTGCATCATCCCACCCACCAGGCATATAGAGTGCCCTGATTGGCCCACAAAGTGGATAAAGCTCTGTGATTTGTTCACTTAGCAGATAGAGCACTATGATTGGCCCACGATTACGGACCAATCACAGCTCTTTATGTGTTTGAAACCCCTCTAGAGAGCTGTGATTGGCTAGCCAGAGTCCTGGTAGGAGCTACGGAGGTTCCAATGGAGCATGCCTAGACCAAACTTTGCAAAGCAAGAATTTGGTCTAGTTCACTAGGCTAGGATGTGTCTGCATACCTCTCCAAAAACAGGTAGTTACATCCCTGACAAACACACACACACACCTTGTTTTGCTTAATATTGTGTGGGGAAAAAAAACAATAACGTTACAAAAAAATCTGTTTGATCTCAAAATAAAAAAATTAAATAAAAAAGCCGTGTCTTGTTCTAGTTCATCTTTCCTACCGCATGAGTTCAGTTGTATTCATTCGTGCACTTAAATATTCAATTCAAGTTTATTTATGCAACGCCAAATCACGACAGTATTCATGTTCTGAGTTTATTGAAACACCTGTTCTGCAATAGCTCCTTTACTATTGTGATCAAAAACATTGAATCTCAGTTCTGAAGCTGCTCTGTAAATAGTTTTCAAATAAACAATACATAAAGCAACTTCTGATCAGTCCACATTAATTTCATACTTAAAATAATGTAGAGATTGAAACCCCATCTACTACAGGTTAAACCATGCTCAGTTCCTGTTTAGGCCACGCCCACTCTGAGTACAGCTAGCAGTGTACTAGCTCATCCCTGATGTTCACCCTCTGTGTGCTCCACTCGTTTCCTCCTCTCCTCAGTTGGGATCCCCCCACTGGGGGGCAGTTTTCAAACTCTCTAAACTCTGCACTTTTCACTAGAAACAACCAAGAGGGTTGCTCAGACTGAAGTGACACATCTCCACTATCTTCTGGTGTAAAGTAATCACTTCATGAGGGATTATATCGGCAGCTGTGGCTCCTTAAGTGCAATATTGTGACTTTGGATCGTAAAGAGTTAATTTTACAGTCCTCAGCAGGTCCTTCAGTTATTAGCCTGTGCAATTTAAATGTATCATTTTTATTTATTTATTTATAATTTATTACTATTGAATGTACATGAGCGGGATCAAGCAAAACATTTTATATAGAATTTTAATTGATATTGTTGTTATGTCAGTGCTAAATAAACATGTTCATGGTTCTGTAATTGATCTATTGCAGTGCCTTGACTTTAGAGAGGTTAGTACACATCACAGCCATAAATGCTACGGTTCTAATTAATCATTTCTTTCTGTGTTTCAGTTTTCCGGCCTTGGGTTCCTAATTTTCCGTTTTCCATTTCGGCCAACAATTTCCATTTGCATCCGTAGGATTAATGCTAACACAACACAATATGATGGTGAGTGAGTTCGTTTTTCATCTCAGCAAGGAAAAACACTTTTTTCAGCTACTTCATTTTAATGGTTGTTATTAACAGAATGATTAAATATTCCAAAAGAACGTATTAAAATTCAAATACACCATTCCAGATTAAACTGCACATCCTAATGTAGAATTTACGTGCTTGTTAAAGACCAAGTTCACTCACTTTCTCAGTACATTTGCAGTGGTTTCTAGTATAAATTATTGCCTTGTGAGACGATTTTCTGTGGGATTAAAGCTCTCACGCTCCTGTTTCAGGAGCTAGGGTAGAGAGGGGAGCAGAAGCCGGCAGGATTAGGAGTCTGATTGGTTAACAGCAGCCTAACCCTACCACTGACTCTATTTGCTTTGTAAAATTGTTGTTTACACAAGCCTGAAGGATTTCTGCCATACGTGGAGTTGCTGATTCGGTTAACTTCTACTAGCAGAGATGTTCTCTGCTGTTTCCTGGACAAGTAAAAAAAACTGTTTCTCAGTAAACTTGGATCTAAAAAAAGAACAGTAGAAGCGGGCTTCTGCTTCATGGCTGAGGACACTGACACTATAAGTAAAAGTGGGACATATGTGGTAACTGTGTCTCCATTTATGGCTCACCTTCTTTGGAGTAGTAGAGGATTTCCACCTTGCGCTCCTCAGACCCAAGCAGGGCCTGGGCCAGCTGGGCCAGGGCACTCTTCATGGTACCAGGACCAACCAAGAACTGGCAGGTACAAGACTGCTGCATGATCTCTGCTCTGGTGAAACCAAACATCTGGCAAAAGCCCTCATTGCAGTAGATGATCCCACAGTTCTTCATCTGGGCATTGGCGATCAAAAACTTGCGATCTGGAAGGTGGAAAATGTCCAGTGTCTTTTAGAATACATCATGTTTAATGGCATCGATTGCAAAATAACAATACTCAAATGCAACTGCTATGTGTGTTTAATCAGGTGGGGTGTTAGAAACCTGGTTCATAGATTTCTGTCAGACAAGCTCTGACATTTTAATGAAATGCTGTTTTCCTTCTTCCGTCACTAGCTAATGAAGTCCATCTTTCATCGGGCTGATATATTCAATTTATTCCATGTTGGCAATCGGCCGAAATTATTTTTAAAAGCTGATAAAAATATAAAAAAAAATCAGGCACCTGTGTGGCCAACTGCTGCCACTACTAGACTGAAGAAATGACCCAAAGGACCCAAACACACCATTTTTTTTATGTTTTCATCCATCCATCCATTGTCCAGCGGTCAATGGGCCGATCAGGTGGGGTACACCCTGGCCAGAGAGCCAGGCCATCTCAGGGCAACACATAGACACGCAGAACACACTATCATGCACACACACACACACACTATCATCTAAGGACAATTTAGACAGACCAATTAACCCGGAGTACCCAGAGAACCCACGCATGCACAGGGAGAACATGCAAACTCCATGCCGGGAAGCGAATCCAGGACCTTCTTGCTGCAAGGCTACAGCTCTAACCACTGCGCCACTGCGCAGCCTTTAATGTTTTCGGTTAGTTTTATATTTGAAGTTCAATAAATATTAAGAGATTTATTGACTAATTTAATTTTATTGCACACAGTGAGTGTTCAGTTATCTTTCACAATCAATGTGCTGCTGAAACGTTTATAGCCTTAATAATCGGCTTAGATATCGGCCATCTGCAACGAAATTCTTTAAAAAATCGTCCTTCAAAAAGCCACATAGGTCAGCCTCTAATTAGCCTCACATGTTATCCCAAGAGGAGTGAGAAAAGACAGGTGGCCAATTCCACGTAAAGCCTCTGTTCCACAGCTGCTCTCGGGTAACTCCTGGGACTTCACTGCTGACGTCTGTCACGTTTTATTTGATTACAAAGCATTTCTAAAGTACATCCGTGTGTGAATGAGGAGGTTGAGTGGTTTGCATTTATGTCTAATAGGTTGTTTTTAGTTTACCTGTCTCACAGGAATATAAAGAAAATCTTTTGGTAATTTTCTCCCAGGACATTTTTTGGTACATTTATGGACATTTACACTTATTCTAATGCAGATTTAAATATTTCAAAACGAGTTGAACACCTTTGAAAAATTACAGCATTTATCTCAGATTTTAATCGTGCTTGTTTTTCACTTGTGTTTCCTGCTGTGCATTTATGTGGACTCCTCATCAATAGAAACGATAAACAGAATTTATATCCATCGACCCTTTTACTGGCATCGTGTTGGACATGGCAATGTAAAAGGGCGATGGTGGCACAGAAGTTGAGCAATCGCTTGGTAATTGAAAGGTTGCAGGTTCGAGACTCGCTCAGTCTGTCGCTATCGTTGTGTCCTTGGGCGAGACACTTGACCGCCCTTGATGCTGGTGGTGTTCCGAGGGACCAGTGGTGCCTGTGTACCCCTGGGCAAGCTGCGGCTACAATGTAGCTCATCATCACCAAGGTGTGAATGGGTGAATGACTGATTGGGGGGTTCTAGGACTCTAGAAGGTGCTGTATCAAATGCAGGTCATTTACCATAAACATTCAACAGCTGTTGTCGTTGAATGTTTTCGGGATTTAGAAATTTTAAACAAACAAAATAAGTTAATAATAATGTTGTGTTCAAGTGAACTAATAACATGAAAAAAGCTGCAAATCTTTCTGTTGTAATGAGCAACGTTATAGCTGCACAAAACATAATTGTGTGTGTGTGTGTGTGTGTGTGTGTGTGTGTGTGTGTGTGTGTGTGTGTGTGTGTGAAGACTTTTGTTTCTCCCAGGAGTTTAGATAAATAAAACAAATCCAATCTGAGAAAATACCTCTGGTTGTGTTTACGTAAAATCAGGCTGTGACTTCGGGGCAATAAAACGTCATCGAAAGGTGAAATGTGGCTGCCGTGTTGTACTGCCTCACCAATAAATGACCTCCGTATTGGGGGGTCAATGGCACCGTCAATAAGCGCTCACCCTGAGGGAAACGCTGTGACTGAACAGCGTCAGGTACAACAGTAGTATGTCAAACCGCGTTCTGAGGTGAGATCCAGCTAAAAGGTCCATTTAGTAAAAACAAAATGAAAATAAACAAATGCTTGATGGAAGTGAATTAGGATAGATCTGTTTTTGCTCCTCTGATTAAGGTTTACAGGATGGGGGTTACTCGGCGGTTTGCTGCCCACCCACACCAGCAGCCTTTAGGGTCTTCTTTTTAAAGTAAATGACTGGTCTAGTCGGGTGGAAAAGCACATCCTGTCCAATGTCATTATCTGGGGCTCAAGACGGAAACACTGGTCGTCACACGGTTGCTAAGCAGCACCACTGTGGCACGTGCACTCACCTGGTCGTGCACATTCAGGAACATTGTGGAGGCATTATATAATGGGTCCTTTCTCAGAGGAGCTTTAATGATTCAGGAACTTAGATCCGATCGGACCAAGAGTCGACACACAACTGTGTTTGAGCAAATCAGGAGGGCTATTCTCAGCCACAGAGAGGAATTAACATGTGCATGTGTTTCACTCATGAAGAAGGACGTTTTGTCGTGTTTTCAACACAACGTCTATGAAAGAAAGCATTAAACCCCTGGTCTGTTTGCAAAACTGTGACTTAAAATAGAAAAGAAAGCAAGCAGCGGGTCAGAACTGGACAGCGTGTGGAAGGTTTCATCAAAGGACCTGATTGTGGTTCACTTTATCTTCCTCTAAAGGTCTGGAACATGTCGGTTAATGGAAGCACTTACAAATACACATGCAGGTGCAATCACCTCATAAGGTATGAGTGTTTTCATTGAGACAGTTCCATATTTTAGCAGTTCTCAGGGAATATAGGTGCCAAAAAAGCTAAATTAAATATAAGTTACCATAACAGAACCCTTATAAAGAATTCAGTAATACTTTGCAAACATTTAATAGGCAGAAATCATTAATAAGTGATTGTGAGGTTTTAGTCATTCACCAAACAGGCTCACTATAAAAATGTATATTATTGACCTTTTAATTAACGCATTTCACTGCTTGTTAATGACTTATTAACAGTTCATTAGTGGGTCTTAAATTGGTAACTGTGCCATTTAATTTGTCTTATTAATAAAAGTTTATAATTAATTAAAATCCCGATCAGTTCTGTTGTTGACGAGCTTTTATTCCCAATAGGAGAGCCAGCTCTTGCCTTTGAACTGCAGCACCGTGTTTTAGAGCAGACCGCGGGGAGCCGTTTGGAAACATGCTCGAGCCTCCCAGCTTTCATAGAGCATTTTTGCTCAAACACACTTACTTTGCTCGTCGAATTTCCTGATGATCGTGTCCAGGTAGGTGTTCTGGAGCGCCACATGACCGCGTCTCACCGGCATTTTGGCTCTGAGAGACTCTTCCCCGACACATGAAGCTCACCGGCTCATAATAAACCCCTACATCAACCGAACGCGCCCAAAACGAGTTCCACCTGCAGGAAAACGCGTTTAGGGATGCGGCGATCTGCCTCCGACTGAGACGATGAGGAGACGGAGGATGAAGAGGACAGGCTGCTGAGGCGAACACGTACACGAGAATAAAAAATCTGAAGGGGATAAAAAGTAGTTAGGGATTATTTAAAAAAAGCGAGAGTCACAAATCCAACGGAGCCCGTTTAACGATGGAGAAAGTTGTCAACAAAACAAAATCCTGTCGCTTTCTTTTATAAACGCAGCTTTTTATCCCACCGAAGTTTGAACGCCGTGTGTTGAGAGACAAGAAGCTCCTATAAGCAGATTCACCCCCCCCCCCCCCCCCCCCCCCAGGAGCGGCTGCCAGTCACCGGAAGCGCTATTTCGAATTTCAAAATAAAATCAATTTCTCCTCCTGTTTGAAGCTTTGTTATGCCAGTTGTTTTTATTAATAAACAGTCCTTTTCGCAACTACTCTCAATCTTTTTGGGCAAAAATAGCTAAATCAAGAAGTAAAAACTGAATATTTGACGTTAAAGTAGCAATGTTAACTATGCAAAGAAAGAAAGAAAGAAAGAAAGAAAGAAAGAAAGAAAGAAAGAAAGAAAGAAAATGATCTTTCATATAGCACCTCTCAAGATAAAAATCACAAGGTGCTTCACATGAACAAAATTTTTTATAAAAACTATTTTTTAAATAGTTAAAAAATATGGTTACAATTAAGAAAAAAATAACTGTGAATGAAAAATGTGAGGAAAGGGAAAGAGCAATTGAATAGGAATTAGGGAAATCAGTGGATCCTGGGAAAGGCAGAGTTGGTAGAAGGAGCAGAATACGGATAGGCTGATGACACCTTTGGTCTTTAGCCTGGTGCTGCACAACCTGTAGGCTTTGGTCACTGGACCTCAGGGACCTGCTGGGGGTGTAGGGACTGAGAAGATCACCAATGATGATCAAATTGTGAAAGTATCAGGTGGGAAATCAAGACATCCCTTTCCCCAGTGATCCCAAAAAAGAGATGATATATAATCTGTCATGTTCTGCGTCCTGTGTCCCCCTCATGTGTTCTCCAGCACTCTCGAGGTTCCCCTTATGTGTCTCCTTGTGTTCCCCAGCCCACTCCTGGTTTTCCCCTCAGGTGTTCCCCTTAGGTTTCTGTCCCCCTTTTGGTCTCCAACCCCTCTGGGTGTCCCTCTAGGATCCCCCTCATGTGTACCCAAGCTTCCTGTGCCCCTTCTTGTCTCCAGCTCCCACCAGGTTTCCCAGGTTCGCTTATTCTTTAGTTCTCTTTGTATTTATATTATCTAGCTAGTTTTTTCCCTGTATTTTCCTAGGTTCAGGTTTTCTTTTAGGTTCCTTCCTTGTTCCTTCCCCACTGGTTTATTAGTTCTCCCGTTGTCCTCAGATCATTAATTTATCTTGTTCTTCTAGTCTTTAGGTTTGGTTATTATTCATAGGTTATGTTTTATTTCCCCTCCTCAGCTTGGATTCCTCTCCCAAATTAGTAAATTGATTTCACCAGGTTCCCCTCGGTTTCTCTCTCACCACGCACCTGCAGCTCGTCTCCCAATCATCCTGCCCCTGTGTATAAAACCCTGTCTGCGTCTCAATGTGTTGTTGGTCCATTGTACTTGTCAGTGTTGTGCCCCCCCCCCCCCCCCCCCCCCCTTAGGTCTCTAGCAGGTTTTTGGCTTCATTCTACATAAAGAATGTTTAATTTTACATCCTCTCCTGCCTCGTGTCGTTCTAGGTGTCTGCACATTGGGTCCACCTCCTCAATCGGATTCCAGGTCTGTCCCTCAGTGCCTGGAAAACCTCCAGAGGAAGTTGACCATGAGGCATTCGAATTAGATGCCCAAACCTTAGCTGACTCCTTTTGATGAGGGGCGCAGAAGCTTTACTGAGCTGATGATGGAGCTGCTTACTATCTCTCTATAGCAAAGCCCAGCCATGCTTTGGCGGAAGCTTGTTTCAGCCACCTGTGTCTGGAATCTTCTTATGGTAAACGGCCTGGATTTGAAATAGTGCCTTCTAGAGTCATGGAACCCCCCAAAGCGCTTTACAACTGTAGACAATCCTTAACGCTACATATTTTATGGCGACAATTGCAACACAATCAGTCATTCACCCACTCACACACACATTGACACGTTGGTGGGGATGAGGTACAATGTAGTCACAGCTGCCCTGGGGCACACTGACAGAGGCATGGCTGCCGAGCCCTGGTGCCACCGACCCCTCCGACCACCACCAGCAGGCAAAGTGGGTTTAGTATCTTGCCCAAGGACACAATGTCAATTCAATTCAATTCAATTTTATTTACATAGCGCCAAATCACGACAAGAGTCGTCTCAAGGCACTTCACATAATAAACATTCCAATTCAGGTCAGTTCATTAAGCCAATCAGAAATAATGTTTCCTATATAAGGAACCCAGCAAATTGCATCAAGTCACTGACTAGTGTCAGTGACTTTACAGCAATCCTCATACTGAGCAAGCATATAGCATATAGCGACAGTGGAGAGGAAAACCCTCCCTTTTAACAGGAAGAAACCTCCAGAGAATCCTGGCTCAGTTTAAGCAGCCATCCACCACGACTCACTGGGGATCGAGAAGACAGAGTAGGCACACACACACACACACACACACACACACACACACACACACACACACACACACACACACACACACACAAAGACAAAGTAATGTCTCTATAGTTATATTGTGATTTCTTAGTAAATATTCTATTTGGTGAGAGATAAACTTTATTGTATTTATCCTAGTGAATCTATAATTAAACGGGTAAACTAGTAGTAGCACATCCAACGTCAAGGAAAGCAAAAAGTTATTATCAGGAGAGGGAGAATGTTTTAGTGGTTAGCAGCAGTGTGCTAGACGATGGCCCCCTCCATGAGGCCACCACAGCTCAGCAGACAAGGAGAGCGGGGCTCGAACCTGCAACCTTCCTATTACGGGGCGAGCACTTTAGTCCTGTGCCACCATCACCCCTCCCCTAATGTCAGCATTATCTGGTGACTATGGATGAGGGCTGGAAGGTAAACGGAATTTTAACAAGAAGAAATCTGGGGAAAAGACTGAAGCATGAATATTTTTGGTGAACGTGTCTGATTTTTGTGTTTGATTAATGCAACCTTCAACAAGGAAGTGTTTTATTTTGAAGGAGCTCCCCAGATGAAATGTTTTTGCATATCTTGATAGTGGCCTGACACTGACAGAGTGCAGACTATCAGTCAGCTCTGCTTCACTCCACATCACAAGTCTCTGTGCTCAAAATAGCAGCATCCTCTTCTCTGTGGGGTGCAATCACACATCTGAAATATTATATTCATGACAGAATAATAGTGATGATGAGCTTGGAACTGTGAGACTGCTCTCCATTTGTATAACACGTGTTTGGTATGAAGTTCTTGGGATTCTTAAATCCGTAAGGGGGGACGTGTTTGGAAGGCAGAATAGGTCAACATTCAGAATCATGTGGTGCTCCCGAGCTGAATTAATGTAAAACAGAAACTGAGATGTCCAAACAAAATAAACGCAGGAACTATTATCTAAACACGGCTGTAAAACTTCAGATGAGGCATTCAGATTCTGCAGGCTTGAAGCAAATTTCAGGCTTAATGTTTCCTCATATGCAAACTCATGCAGACTAAATTTGTATCAGTTAAATTTAGATTTATTTGACTAAATAATAAAAAAAGAATTGCAGCTCAGTTTTGACATCTTGATTTTTTTGCACGGACTCCAGTCTTTATAAATACAAGAGGTTGGTTTTTCTGCATGAACTCAATAAGGAGACACTTACCTGGCAGCGGGACTGTGTCGAGAGACAAAACAGACACTCAGGCCCACTTAAAGGTCACCTGTGAGAGTGGTTTCCTGACACAAACACTGAGCAGATTGTTGGGTTTGTTTGGCAAAAGCTGCCAGGGAGACGTTTCATTGACCAACCAAACTGAATCGGGGTTACAGCGAAGGGTTGTTACAGGATCTCCTAACACACACACGTCTTTGTTCTCATTTAAAAGTGAAGCAATGACACGAGAGAGACACATGTGAAGACCATCCCAAAATCCGCAGAGCTGGCAGGTCACAGAAGTCATCTTTCCACTTTGTACGAAGAAAAGTGGCTGATATGTGCACTTGCTCAACAGCACAATGGCGCTGACTCTGAGGATGCGTGGAGGGATCAGAGGAAATGTGAGTTAGCTGATACGTCGAGGTGGTTGATCTGTGTTTTGTCTGAGGTGATTGTGATGAAATGAGGGTTAAAATTAGCCACGCATGCCGTTCCATGACCCTTCGGTGTGAGAGCCAAGTAGGACTCGAACCAGAAAAAGACAAAAACCTATGAATAGATCCTCTATGTGAACCCACACCTGCCGTGAAATCTCATTATTCAGAAACCGATTAACAAACTACTTAATGCAGATTTATTATTTTTACTGGTGTTTCTATTTAATAGTCACCAATACATCAGATCATGCTGTTTTAAACCTTTGAGAGCAAATGTAGACACAATGGGTGATACAGTAATACTGATGACACTATTGAGATATCATTTTATCTGAAATATGAATAATTTTAATCAGCCTGAATTTCTATCCTGAAATGAAATGGTCTGCAGTGACAATCCGCACGTGCATGCTCCGACAAAACGCAACTACAAAAGCATCTAAGGCGACCAGTATGTTGCTGGATAGTAATCTAGTGAATAAAGTGTCTCGTTTTGCCATATGTTGACGTTCGAATCCCTTTGTCGGCAGTAATTTATTTCGCCAGTTGAATCATATTAAAATTATTATATTTTAGTATTGTTGATATTTTTCTGTAAAATATTTTGTGTCTGTAATGATCTTTGAATTTGGTCATTTCCAAGCAGCATTTTAGTTGATTTGCTCTGCTCACCTTGCATGGACTCAAAATGGTTTTGTAGACTGCACACATGGTTTTTACAGTGATGTTTTGTTCCCAATATCCACTGGTGGAGGTTTAAAGCAGTGATCGGCATTCAACTCTACGTGTTACACACTTACATGACAACTGTGATCACTTCACACCTACTAAGCAGAGATAACAAGCCTAAAATGCACATCACTTTAACCCTTTGACACCTCTCCTTCTGGTGGAAAAGGACTGTTCGGGGAAAGAGACAGACGTCAAGGCTTGGGTCCTCGACTGGCTGAGAGTTTTATCTGCCTGGAATTCTTTCGGTTCAGGGTCGCCTTCAGCGCAGACCTGAGACCGTTCATTCCTCTGATAAGAGCCCAGCACAACAGACACATGCTCTTACTGCAGCAGCACACACAT